TTGTTAGGTCTATAGAATGAGCCAATCTATTCTATCTACAGGACAGTGCTGACCGTTTCCACTCGAGCCACTATGTTAGAACCACCTTGTCATTTCAGGTAGCCCAAGTGTGGAACAAAGAACACACTAGCATTACACCTATCAGTCTATTTTCCATTGCTAAAAAATCAGGCTGAGCATCAATTATCTCCAGTGTGTATTATGTAGGAGGATCTGTTTTTAGAAATGGAATATAATATTCATAAGTATGTTTTCATTAGTGTATAATCAGCTGACTATAGGAATTGTTATGTTTTTGTTAGCTTAGAATGAGCCATTTTTATCTACAGACAGTGCTGACCGTCTTCCACTGAGGCCACTATGTTGAACCACCTTGTCTTTACAGTAGCCCAGTTGGAACAGACAACACACTAGCATTACACCTTCAGTCTATTTCCATTGCTAAAAAATCAGGCTGAGCTCATCATAAGCAAATATTTGATAAAAAAAAAAATCTTTCTTTTCGTTCTTTGGCTATGACATCACTTTGGGAGACATATTCAAACTTACAGTGAACCGGGATGAAAATGTTAACGTTATAGAAATAAAAATGATGGATAGTTTTTATTTAGTTTTTAAATATTTCTTGTCATGGGATGTAATGTTGAATCAGAATTTCACATTCATCTTCTTTTTAATGCAATCTATATTATTATTATTATTATTATTATTGTGTATTTAATTCATTAGGCCACTTGAATAACAGTTAAATTTCCTTTAAGTGCTCCTGTTTGACGGTAGCACCTGGTAAAATTTGTTTTTTGGTCAGTGTGTGTTAGAGGAAGACTCATCCATCCTATGCCTTTTTCATTTTCCTTCTGTATAGTATACGATAGCTCTAAAGGTATTTAGAATAGCATCATAGGAGGGACTAAGACATTGGTAAATGATCAGAAACAGCTCCACTTTACCAGCATTCACCCAACTTAAATAGTACGCATAATTCATTATCACTGATGCCTTAATGTGTGAACAGCATTTTGGCTGTAGTTTATTACTTACATTTTGGACAGCTTAGTCTAATATTTTTGTCCTAAAAACCTTTAAAAATATTTAAACCTGTAATTTAAATCAACGTATTTAAAAATATTTCTGTATTTTGAAACATGAAGAATAAGATTGCAGCTTCCTGCAATAGAATAATGAAAAAGATTACTTTAGAATGAAGACATGTTGAAAACACTCCTATGATGCACTGCTTTTATAGGAAGATAAAACTTTAATGACTCAATTCCTGACCATGTTTTTCACTAAGGGAGTCATCACATTTTAGATGCTGACAACATGTTTTGCATTAAAAGTGATTATCGGCAAAGTACTAACTATAGCTGTCAGATAAATGTAGTACAAAGTATAATATTTAACGCTGAAATAGCAGAGTAGAAGTATAAAACAGTTACTTCAAAACTGTACTCAACCACTGATTGTAACCATTCCTTATAGTTGTATCACACATACAGTACAACAAAAATCAATCCAAGGAATGCAGATTTATCTGAGCAATGACCCAATTTATAATCTAGAATTACTCAAACTGACACATTTTAAGGATTTTCTAGACTTACTGTTCTGTAAGCTCTCCTGGACGGTACAGCTATCTTCAGAGAAGTGAGCCAGAGGAGGAAGCATTGTCCAAAGCATAAGCCAGAAGAGAAGCATCATTCCTGGGGACAGACACTGCTAGGAGACCCCCACCCCCCACCCCCTTTTATTTTTTCTGAGCTGGTCTCAGGAAACTTTACTGTTAATGAGAGGGGAGGTCGGGTAGGCCTATGTACATATTGAAAGAGAGAAAGAGAGAGAAAAAGAGAGAGAGAAGTTCATTTACTAGAAATAATGAAGAAATGAGTCATGACCACAGTACCAGCACTTACTTCCGCTTTGACTGTCTGCTTGTTGTGGGATGTCACCACACATCCGCCTGCCTCTTATCTGTCTCTCTCACATGTGATATTAAAAAGATACACATGCTGTCTCTGGAGAAACATATCAACGAAAAGATACCAAATACTGATGACACAGATGAGCGGTTTTACAACTCTGCTTAAATATTTATAGATATATAAGACACTTGGACATGTTAAGAGTACTGATACAACATAACAGATACAATAACATTAATATTAAATATTAGGTTTTGCCTACATTTCTTGGGCTACTACATGATTTTAGTCATTGTAATTATTTACTAAATGCAAATTTTTTTTTAATTTAGTTATAAATGTCTAATTTATTGCGATTTTATTTTATTCTATTTATTTTTTCCGATTCAATGATCTGGACCTAAAACCAGACCTAAGTTGCTTACACATTTAACACAAAGGTGTCATTTCTGATTGTAAATCCAACCTGCAAAGTTCATCAAAAAAAGACCTTTAAGATCATTTATCAGCTTTTGATAATTATAAAACATTTATACTTATAAAACGTTTCTACAATTTCTGCAATTCTGAATGGTAATTGATTATCGCTACAAATTGAATGTGAAAACTGAATAGTTAAAAAAGTTGAACACATATTTCGGTTTGGTTTGTGGGGTTTAATTAATTATTCTCTCAAATATGTAGCTTCCTAATAAAACAACCATTATCTGACAATGATCTTAAAAATATATTTAACATATTTTACAGTGTATCCCAGTCATTCAATAATATACATATTGAACTATTTCAATTATTTTGTAGTTAAAATATCTTCAAATAAAGCAAGAAATATAAAAAAAGAGAAAATAAAGGAGAAGTGTAATAATCTCAGCGCATTAATCAAAAACCAAGGGGGGGATTTTAAGGGTCAGTCAGGCAAAACAGTCCCCACTTCTGGCTTGCTATTTACAGTAGCAGGCTTGGGGGGAAAACCCATTGAGAATGTGGGAAGCCAACACTGACTATGAAACCAAATAACCTTCTTTTATTGTCTGCTACACCGCAGAGCACAAATGTCAGGTATGACAGCGAAGCTGAAACCAGCAGCAGAGCAATATCAAAGGCAAACAGAGATTCACCCAAATATAAGCATGGAAACGCTGCATATGTAGGAAAATGACTGAATGAATAAGGCATCATGAATTACCATCATTATAAAATGATTAAACTGTCGACTGACTTTGCTTTTGGTCTTTTGCTGACATGATCAAAAAGTTACATTGCTACACTTATGTCAGTGTGTCACTCTATTACACAATTCCTGTCTGATTTACTGTCAGAATTTACAATAATTCATATTTCATCACATTTGAGTCACAGGACGTCAGCAAGTTGTTTTGCATGTTGCCAAGTCCAGTTGCGTTTTACTTCCTCCTTTCAGATAAGTACTAATATCATTATGATAAATACACCTACATGGAAATACACACATGCACCTTTTTGTACAGCCTATAGACAGTTTTAAGCTGTGGAATGAAATGAAGTATAGATGTGAGCTATATGACACTATAAGCCATCCACTAAATCAAACACAGAATGTCTGCCAGTCACCTACCTTACATGATTTCCTTTGTCCGTCTGTCACTATTGCTTCCTTCTTGTCAGCCAGCTCCTCACAAACACTGTCGAGAAGTCTGTGGGAGTTTCCTCTGTGACGAGTTCCTCTTTCTGTCCACAGTGGCACTTAATATCCTTATTCCTCCAATACATAATCAGCTGTTTTAATTTGCACGCCCCCTTTAATGCTGTCATTGGTTGCCACACCCATATTCTGGACATACAGGTACTGTAGTTAAAGACAGACACAGTGACGTCTCCTGGGGTCACCTACACAAAAATACATACATGGGATTGGCCTATCTTGACACTATTTGGCACAGCAGTTACAAAAACGTACTGTAGTACTGTGTACTACAACAGTAAACCTGCCAAAACCAATAACATGCAACGTTTTCTGACATTACTTTTACATTTCCTGTTTAAATGCAATAAATCAGTCCAATTTTGCTTTCTGGTCTCATAGAGGATACACATTTTGGTTTCATGATACAGCCTACTCAAGATATGCTAGCTAAAATCAAGTATCAGTGGTTAATCAACCGCATGCTTTGAGATAACAGCACAGATACACATTTAGTAGTAGTAGCTCTGCCATATGCAGCTGAAACCTCTGTTGGTTAGATATAAGGGTGCTCCATTTGTTTACTATTACAAATGACAACATTGAAGTTTATTCGTTTGCATTACAGTGTACAGCTACTTTCAATTAAACTGTCTTACTTACAGTAAACTGGTATTACATTTTCCAGGTGACTTTAAACACTCCACCGAACTGGCCCAACCTCACTGAAGTCAATCAAACGTGGGTGTCATGAGCGTAATCTGTCAGCATCGGTTTATGTGGTGCACCCACTTCTTTTGAGGAGGCACAGTTTCACAACTCCTGTGTTAGTAAAACGCACAATTTTACCCCAATTCAGAATTCACATTCACATATCAGATCAAATAGATCATATCTGATTAGATTAGATGAGTGGTAAGAGATAAATATTTGTTAATTATCCGGGCGATGGAGACAAAAGTCTAATATCCAACCTAAATTTTTCTGTTGTCAGTGAATTATGCAGATTTGCATTGCTGGAAAGAAACTATTATTTACTTTGAGTACAATTTAGAGGCAGTTGTACTTTACTTTAGTAAAGTAACTCTTTATTTTATGATTGCACTTTATTTCAGAGGGAAATATCTACTTTTATCTGACATTTATTACTTTTTAGATTAAGATTTAACAAGTAAACGATCAGCTTCTAAAAGTATAATGCATTGTTACAGATGAGAGCATACGTAAACAGGATATACAGAGGTTAAAATTAGATCCACCTTAAGGGCAGCTACAACATTAAATCGACAGATTCTAATGCGGACATAATAGAAAAATAGTAACATAGTAGTGTTTTTACTTTTGATACTTTACGTATATTTTGCTGATAATGATTATGTACTTTTACAGATTTTCACAGGAATTGTGTGTGTAATAGTGTACATTTAAACTTTTCTATTGCTACTTTTACTTCAGTGAAGAATCTGAATACTTTTTTCCAACACTACATACAGAGAGTGAAACGCATTATGAAAGACTTTTGCAAACAAGGACTTGCTATGTTTTTTTTCATTATATTTTTTACTCCATTTGGTAATATCTGAAACTAAGAATTAAATTATGATTTAAAGTTCTGGCTATTTGACCAAACATACATTGAGTATGTTGTTGCAACTCAAAAAAAAGTATTGCTAATAAGACTAATGGATTTATATTTATGTATGTGGTATCTAGTGGTGCAACTCCCTTGCTTCAACCTTGCCCTCAACGCACAAAGGAGAAAATACAACGGTAGCAAAACGTGTGAAACACACAAACGGCTCTAACTAGAGTCAGTGTTTGGTTTGTCTGTTCTGGGCTACTGTAGAAAACTGGAGGTTCACATTGCAGCCTCCAAGGAAGGCGGCCCTAAATGTCACACTCCGGACCTTTAAATGTTGGTAAACCATTCTTAAGTGTTTCATTTTAAATAAGACCTCATTGCTGTCTCTCTGCTTTCCTGTTATGATACTGACAGTAATTCTGGTTGGACTGTTTCTAGTTCAGATAAAACTCATACTGAGTCAGAACATTTCAGCCACCAGCTCATGTTAGTTGTACAATCACTAAATTAGACTTTCACTTACCATTACACTCATCTCAAATAAATACATTTGTCAGACATAGGCGCATAGGATAAATAAAATAAAATGTGTAATATTCACACTTACAATTATCCACTCTTTTCACCTTTTAAATAGGATTATAAACTGCCTTTTCATAAAAGAAAATGGGCTTCTATGAGTTCTCATCAGGACTTTAGTCTCTTTCACTTTCTATCAATATAAATTCCTCAAAAACAAATTAGAAACTGAAGTCGGACTCTGACTTGATCCTGACTCAAACATGTCTTTCAGATCTTCTTTCTCTGAAACATCAACAGTCTTCTACGAAGGAGGAATGCTATTAGAGGACATCTGACATTTTCCAGTCCCCCACACTGCCACTCAGATTTTACATATAGCTGCACACTTTGCATTACATGTATGCTACAGTTACACTTGTCACTTCAATATGACTTTCTGACAGACCCAGCAGTGTACATGTCTTGGATCATGAGCCACATCACAGTATTACAACAGTCTTGGCTAGATGCCTTTGAGTCACGAGGAAGAAGAAAACCAGCAAAATCAATGTGACAAAGAGAGCTGGATGAAAAATGTAAAGGACGTATTAAGGCCGTGTAGGAAAAGCCACAAACATGGATGCACAGCATCAAATGTTTATGACTGGATCTCAGAAATAATATAAAATATTAGTTTAAAGATAAAAATAAAACAGAAGATACATCTCTGTGACTTTATCTGCTGGTGAGTTTGCTGTTTTCGATCGAAAAGCCAGTTCATGTTGAATCAGCTTCATCATGAAAACTACTTGTTATTCAACACTCAGCTGATTGTTTTTTTCTGTCTCACTCTGTCTCTTGTCCTCTGACTTCCTGCTAATAAATATCTTTAACGCCTTCAGTTTGAGCAAAGTTAAAGATGGGCGAAGGTGCAACATGACCAATTCCTCATTTCAACTGCTGCCATTTTGCAGTGACTCACATGATTCACATTTGCAATACTTGCAATTTGATTTTAAAACGGTACAGTTAGAAAAAAAAGAAAGAAAAAGACATAAACATATTCTTAGATGCCATATGCACAAGGGGCTCAGAACAATGAAACACCCTCTATTTCTTACAGGTTGTCATTTTTATTTTTTGCAATACAAACTCAAATGGATATTCAGCCGCTGGTTACTGTTGTGAAGTTGTCAGAATTAACACTTAGACACTAGACACTAGAATAGCTTGTTTTTCTAGAGAAAGAAAAAAAAACCTTCCTCTGGTTCTCAGAAATGATGAGGAACTCGCCAATCAACTTACTGATCTGTACATGTCAGCTGCTTGAGGTCTGTTGGTGTCAAGAATCGCATGGTCAGAACTTGGTGGTCGAACGATGGTTTATGAGCTCTCTTTGCGTTCTCAAGAAATACATCAAGAACAGGGTGTTTTGCAAAGAAAAGTTAAATATGTGTGGCCCTAAAACGATAAAACATGTGCTAATGTACTTGAACATGAGAATGAGCAGCGTGTGAATGGTGACAACAGTGGGGCTGAAGTGTAAAGATAGAGACGCTGATATAGATCACTCTTCTATTTCTGATATATTCTGAGGGTTTTTTACTGCAGCGGTGGAAGCAGTACTCATATCTTTGACGTAAATAAGGGTTGCAATACTGTTCTGTAAAGATACTCTGTTACATTTGAGAATTTCACTTAAGTAAAATGAATTTAAAGCATCAGTGTGTAGGATTTAGTGGCATCTAGCCGTGCAGGTGCAGATTAAAACTCTCTTGCTTCATCCTCCCTTTCCAAGTGTGAAGGAGAGACTTGCTTTAATATGTAAGCACCATTTTGAATAATTTCATACTGTTGGAGAGTTTAATCTATGGCACAGTATCATATTTTATAAATGAATCATATGTTTTGTTTGTAAAATTTTAATCTGTAAAGTAACTCCAGCTGTCAGATAAATGTGGCAATATTCTGAAATATAGTAGAAGTTTAAAGTATACTTTTAATTAATTAATTTTAATTTTAGTTGTATGCTAAAATGCTAAAAGTACCTCAAAATTGCACTTAAGTACAGTTCTTGAGTACTTATACTGCATGCTGCTTTTCTTCATATCACTCAGCCATTCACTTTAACAATAATAACAATTATGTATAATGCAAAAGAAAATTGTTAAACATCCTAATAAAATTTTCCAGGCTACTTAGCAATGCAGTTTCAGTGTCAACAGTGCCACCTAGTGATTACACATGATAATAAGGAGTGGAAAACAAAGATATGCTTGTACAAAACAAACAGTTGTTCATAAAGTAGTAGTTTGTTTCAGTCTTAGTTCAATGGGTTGTTCTTAGTCTTCAATAAATATGATTAGTGCTTTAGTTCCTACAGACTAGACTGAATTGGACACATTCACAAAAATATTAGCAGTGCTGAATGCCAAAAATTTAGGTTGAGACTTAATCTAATTATGAAACAACCTCCGGGGGATCAAACCGGTTTCTGTTTGAATGGCTTTATCTCTCTGTGTTAGTGAAATGATAAATAACATCAGCCAAGAGCCACAGTGTGTTTACATTCTTTTTTTAATCAATCTGGACACATAAAATATATAAAACCTAAATAATAAATAAATTAAATCTATTGTTAATGCTTCTGCATACTTATGAAACAAACCATTCCAGATTTTTAAAGCACATATTTGCAGCAGCATGACAATCCAGACAGATTTGATTCTTAAAATCAGTGCTGGACAAGAAACCACACTATGAAGGTCTTAATGTGGCTCCTAGAGAGGGGCCACTAAAATGGCCATAAATCATATGGTAGCATATCAATAATAAAACTACGTGCACAGATTAACTTGATTACAGTTTAAGGAACAGTAACAGTTTGAATATTACAGTACAAGTTGACACGGTTTACAAGCCTGAGCAGGAATCAACAGGAAACTTGTATTTCCTTTTC